GGGTACAAGTTCAACCCTTGGTACTTGTAGTCTTAAAAAATTATTTACGAATAATTAAATATAAGAAATAATTCCAAGAGCACTGATGATATGCACTTAGCAATACTCAAAACATCTGTATGGTTTGCCAAAAATTGAATTATTAAGAAATAAATAAAAAATTTTGTTGTTGCAATTCACTACTGTTCGAAACCTCTGCGCTTAATTCTATATTATATTATTTATCTATAATAAAATTGAAATTACATTAAATTTAATTGTTTTTTATTTAGAAAAACTCAAATTATATAAAATATTTTCAGTATTTATTATTACAAAACAAAAAACAAAAGAACAATTCCGTAGAAAGAATAGCTAGGACTACCTTTGCCGTTGTTGTTATCAGTACCATCCTTAGTTGCATCCACAGTTGATAGAGTCCAAAGTTATTTAGCTTGATTCACTGCAGTTCTAAAGAACTTCGCCGATACAAATTGATGCTATACGTTCGGATATAGTTTCCTCTTTGGTGAAAAGTTAACCCTATCTAACACCTCTGCGAATAAAAATAAATGAATACAGGCATTCTATCTGCGAATATTTAAATTTTTATTCACAGCCATCAGGACACGGTTTTTAAAGAACCAATTGGTCAGATCAGTCGAAGTTGCGACCTCAATGCTGACCTCCGAGGTGCCCGATTTAGATCTCTGGTCTGGTGGCGAAAGTGAAACTCACTTATTATCAGTGATACTACAAACAGTACATTGTGGTGTCTAATAATTTTTAGTTACCCCTTAGCACTCTATTTTAGTGCTATTCTGTCGATGTTGCTATTAGTTTTTCTTAATGTATGACCAACCCAGTGCCACTTCTATCTTTGAATTTATTTGAACGCTGTTTTTTCATCCATTTATTTCCTAAACTTTTGTATACTTCTGTTATCATTAAAAAAAGTAAGCGACTTTTTTAAGAGATTTATAAAGCATGATTTTTTTTTTGTCTAGAAAAGGTTCTATTTCTTAATTATTTACTAATTTAACGATTCTTTGCTAAATATCTAGACTGTCGTTCTTTTTGATGATTTGGTTTTGATGATTTGATTCTAAAATAAACAAAGAGATCCGTTCTTTCGTATGGAGGAACGCGTAGATAGAATGTGTAATATTGTGGAAACATTTAGGATTCAAAATACATATCATATTTTATTTTTGATAAGTTTAATTTTTATTTTCAAAGATAATTTATAAGAATATATATTTCTCCATGCTGAAGGCATGGACTTAGGGTTACCTGTTTGCATTCACCTGATTGTGTGATTGCGAGCTAATAACGGTGACAGAGCTCTTGCTTTTGAATTAATTGGAAGACCAGAGATTTGACACATAGGATAAAAATTATTTTTGATTACTATTGAAATTGCTTGAATTATTTTTGCTAAAAAAAACATACACAATAGAAGATATATAACTTGGAAGCGCAAGAAAAATAAGGAAACTATTTATATTTTGGAAACATCTAGAAAATTTTGAAGCTATTTTATTATTGAGTAAATTTCCAATTCGATTTATTTTTCATCTAAGTTTAAATAAATAAAATCTTAGCAGCTACAATTCTTTAGAAGATCTGAGTAAAAAAATGATTATCCAAACTGCATGTGGATATTTACTTTAATAAACAATTTAATTCAATCTAAGTGGATTTCTCTCAAAAGTAAATGTTGGATTATTTTTTCTAATTTATTTTTGTTTTTCCTCAATTCAATTAAATTCAACTTAAATCATTAACTTTTGTTTATGTTTTAATGTAGATTGTCTCTTCCTGGAACTTCGTTAATGACAACAAATGTATCGACGGCCTTTAGAGCAGATGCAAGCCGACCACATGTGGAACATCTTCTTCTGTATTTCACTTTCATGTTTTTGTATTTTTTTAATTTTCCGATTTTACGTCATAATTTACAGTCGGGAAAATGTTAAAATCGTTTTAATGGCACATTAAAAACTCATTTACCCTACACAGCCACGCACAAATCGAAATTTGTAAATGAACTTCATTTGCAGTCCAGAGTTTCGGAATAATTGCCATTTAACGATTTACTACGCAGTCCACAGATACAAAATTGTCATTTGCAAACTACTTTATAAAAGTATCTATGATACGTGATGGGTTGAACTACTTTTATTGTGGATAAATAGCGCTTTATTTGACGTATGTAGATGACATTAATTGAGATGCATGTCAATATAAGTGCCATTAAAAATCAATGATGTTCAAAGGCCACTTCAAACGATGTGGGATTTTCGACGACTAACAAAAACTATCGATACTCACAGTTCACACGAAGTGTGAAAATTTGTATATAAATTTTGAAATTAGTATTAATATAATTATACGTACATATAAATATAGTTTTTATAGAATTTGATTGGACTCAAAGCAAACGATTTGGAAGAAACTATTCACACTGGACTTAAACATATGGTATAACCAGCGGAATTGAATTTTTACTACGCTGTAATAACTTATCTTTATATATAATAAAAATATATAAAAATGGTTTTAATTTTAATATACCTATACTACCCGGTTCTGAAAGTAGACACTTGAAACACCTGCAGGCTTGCTACTCAGTGACATACCTATCTAAGTAAGAAAAGTAGGAATCGCACCGAATGACAAATGACATTATTGATATGGAATATGGCACTGCGACCGTCGGGTCTATTGTGCCCCCGACAAAATAAATGACATATGACATAAAAATTAAAAATTGAATACTTTTGCTGACAAATCGCACATTGATCAGTTATATTAACATCTGATATGTGAAAGATATATTACAACTCCTAATGGAAACATTAATATAAAAGAAATATTCCTTGTCGTATTCTCTTTTTAGGCAAAAAAAAAATTGTGAAGATTTCAGACCGATATTCTTCCAAATCTAAAAGGTATCAAACTCATTATAATGATGTGAATAGTTTGAGGTTATGATAAAGTTGTCAGAATGGCTAGAGTCTATGATGATTTTCAAGTCAACAGAATGAATTAAAAAAAATAGCTTTTAATTGTAGCTAGTCTTTGTTATTAATAGTAATTTTGACCTCCGATCTAATCTCAATCACAATAATCAGTGAGTGATAGTTTCAGTGTGTGCGTGAAATGGCATAAAAATATTCTCAATGCATTTTCTGAAAATTTTATCATGTCTCCAATTCAGCTAAAGAAATGTTGTTATAAGAAACATACGATTGTCTGACTTTGACCATCTAGATTATTTTCTATTGAAGTGTGTGCAGTCACAGATCTGTTAGAACATAATAAAAGGTATTGGAATACTTAGAAAGTCTCGCTCGATTGAATTTTATGTTAGTCAGACGTGGTGCATTTATCTACAACATAAGTACACAATTAAGAATTTTCCTGATAAAGACAAAAGCAAATTTATCGAAATATGTATAGGAATATACCAAAAATTAACGCTCGAAATAAAAGTTTATTTAAACAATAATATATATAGAATAAAATATCCTTTATTATGAAGTCTTTAAGACTTTATTCATATCCACATATATGTCTATATATATATATATATATATGTTTATAAATCACGAATCTAAGAAAAACCTTTGAAAATTAACTTTAGACTTGTACCACCTGATTTTATCAATCCCTTTTATTCATCTTTAAAGACTGGGTGATATAGTGATAAACTGGAAGGATAGCGTTAAATATCTCGGTATCACGTTGGACAAACGATTCACATGGCTTAAACATGTTCAACTGAAAAGAATTAGCTGTGCCAAAATTCTCCACTACCTCCAACCGCTATTTAGAAATGAAAATCTTAATGCTAAGAGCAGGAAACTGATATATAACCAAATATTTCGTCCGCCACTTCTATATGGTTGCGTAGCGTTCAGTAAAGCTTCAAACACTGCTATTCGCCAGCTAGAAATTGCACAAAGCCAAGCTCTGAAAAGACTTTTTAAAGTTCCATGGTACATTAGGAATAATGACATCCTCAGGGACATCAAGATTAATCCCATCAAAAAAATGATAGAGCCCTGAAATTATTTACGAAAACTGACAGACTTACCAACACCGCGTTATCAAATCTCAGAATAGTTACAGGCTCCTCGGGGAGGTATGCAGATCTGAGGTCAATTATTGCTTAGAGGGGTAGAGAGGGGTTTTGAAGAAACTTCGAGTTAAAAAGAGCATAAATGCTTAAGTGCACTAGCTCAAAACAGCTTTAACATAATAAATCTCATAAACCCGGATGCAAATAAAGTTAGTGTGAAATCACTAACTAATGTTTGGGATTTACGAATTCCGTTTCCCATTGGTAGATCTAGATGCAAACTAGATTTACTCTCGATCTGTCAAGTTTTGTTGTCTAATCGAACATTTTTATAATATAACATTTTTGGAGTAGTCTTAGTAGACTTAGTAAATCTTACTTTATTTATCAAGTCATATAAAACAGTTGTTAATTTCAGAGTAATCATTCTACTCTACTCTATGTTAAACTCTAGAGTGTTTTAAATGAATCTCGTGTGTTATATATTTCGCTCGAGATTTACCATTCGAAACTGAAAATTGCTCTACAAGTGAATCTCGACAAAAAAAAAGTTAACCCAGATTTACCAATCGAAAACGGCATAAGTTTCCGATGCCTCACTTATTGTGTAACAAACATTTCGACAAACTTAATAATATGAGTAAGTTTAATTTACAACAGTATGTAGGGTATTCAAAATAAATCTTTTACAAAAACTGCTCGTGCATAAAGATAGGTTCAAATTAAAATAGTCAAATAATAATTAGTGAATAATTGCTTATTTTGTAGAATAGTTAAAGTATTTAGTGCTTCTATCATAATTGCCAAATAAAGAGCTAAATATTTTATTTTGATATTAGAAATGAGTTTCCTAAAAGTGAAATATATTCTAAATATTATTATTATTATATTAATAGCAATAAATTTAAGTGAAAAATATGTAAAAGTAAATGCAATGATAAAATTAACAAATGTGAAGTGCAATGACTATGACAAATCCTTCCTAGAGTATAAAAACTGTGAGTTAAAAGTGCTAAAACGTAGCATAATTGCGCTGAATGTGTATGTAAAATTGCATCAAGTACCCGTTTATAATGTGACAGTCAGTGTTAAATAAAGTTAAATTATATTTTTATTTTGTTTAAACACTTTTTTAAAGGTAAATATGAGTCTCTGGAAGCGTGCCAGTGGTTACCGACCATTTATGTATAATATTACGGCGAATTTTTGCGAGTTTATGGCTCATCGTACGCGTTATCCTTTTATGAAAATATTTTTGGACTTTGTCATGAAGTCTTCAAACTTAAACCATACCTGCCCTTATGAGGTAAATTTAATATTCAAATTTCTATAATCTATCTAATGAGTAAGGTTTCGGCATATTTTTTTTTTCATTAACCCATTTCGAACGAGAAAGTATATATTTCATATATAAGTATATTTTGAGACTAAATAGCACCATTTAAATATAAATATATTGGGTATTTTATTCTTTTTTTTGATAAGGCTGGCTCTTATTCTAGTTTAAGTTATAGATTATGACGGAAGTCCAAGGATTCACTTAGTCCTATTTATCCACGGTTCCACAGTATAAAATGCGAATCGCTTAAATCCCTGATATTATATTTTAAATTTAGTTTTTGTAAATTAAACTATATGTTATTTTATGAAATAACTTATTCAACGAATATGCGTATTAGTTAAGGTAATGTCATTAAATAGATATATACAATTGTGTGAGTGAGTAAGTGCTAATTACAATATATGACTGGATAAGTATGGAAAGGCTTTGAGAATAACGATCCGGTCATCCTGATCAATAAGATCACTATCTTTAAGAAGGTGTTATTAAAATCAATGTTGGCGAGTGAACTCATTCTTTCTCTCGACTAAAGCTCCATTTTCTAGCACAATGCTATAACGTAAAAAATTGTACAGGAGTTAGATAGGTCTCGCTTGTCTTGAGAAAATAGTGACTCTTTTTATGACAACTCTTTTTATAAACTCTGTTAATATATAATTTTAAGATATTTAAAGTATTTTGGACTTATTGGTATTTCATTCTTGTATTTAGTAACCAATAGCCAAACCTAATTCGTGCCATGAATGTTTATTCGAATTTTTCATACAGTGTTATTAACTATTCGGATATATTAACCCATGATATTTTTTTATGTACTTTGGGAATTTTTCTAGTTTCGGCAACAAATAAATTTTTTCATCGGCATATATCCCCTTCAACAGAGTAACTTCATCATTATTAACCATATTTGTGTATAATCGATCCAGCGATCGTCAAACAATGTTCAATTTAGTCAGTTAACAGTTCTTACCAATATTTATTAAAAAAAAAAAACTGCAGAGCAATAAAATAATGTAGATTAAGATAATGTAGATTATGGGATTTATAATTATATTGTTAGAAATAATAATAAGATCTTATAAGATTAGTTCTTAAGATAGCTCCAATAAATTTGAATAATCCAGCCTTCGCCAGCCTTCGATAAAATAGACTTGATTTAAAATATACCTGAGCGGTTCTTTAATGTACCTTAGTACATTCGCGCAAGACTTTTTTTATATATTTTTTAAATATATATTTTTTAAATATATATTTTTTAAATATATATTTTTTAAATATATATTTTCAAATAAATTGAATAAAATGTCTATAAGCCGATTTAAGAGAGGTGGCGGAAGACTGAATATCTATATAGTTTATATAAACAAAGATGGGTAAAATTACTCCGTCTTCGTACTTGAAGATATATTTGTATTATAATTGGATATATTATTTATATTAAAAATATTTCGATTTAATATTATGTTATTTTATTCATAATATTTAAAAACTTTTTAAATTTCTCAGCATGACATCATAATTCATAATTTAGTGGTCAAGGATGAATATTTACGATTACTACCTCTACCCACTGGAGAATATAGGCTGGATTTCAAAATTAATGCTTTCAATATTCATAAAGCCGATTTTATAATTTTTATTAGAACCGTTGAGAACGATAAATAATCAGTAATTATTTTATATAAGAATAATTAATCAAGTCTTAAATAATTTTTTTTTAATATTTTAATACGAAGCAAATTTAATGTTATTTAAAAAAAAATAAAGGCTAACGAAAAGGTTTTTTAAATAACTATTGAATTATATACTCGTATAAGTATATATGTATAAGAAAAACTATTCATTTTTTATTGAGTTTTATATTGTTAAAAGTCAATTTTTTGAATAATAAGTAAGGTAAGTTTTTGATCTCTGTTACATAAACATATATTTGTGTTTATATATAGTTCATAAAAAGTACCCGAAATGTAAAAATATGAAAAATGGGTTTACAACAAAACGATACAGTTCTATTTTGTTTAAGTTTGTAAAATTACCCCATATTACCATAATAAAATAGTGATTGATTTGAGTTAAATTAATTACTCAATCTGTTTACATCAGCTTTTTCCGTAATTATACAATTGAGTGTTCTGTGATCGCACAAATTCATCGTTGTGTAAAATTTATTTTACAGGTAATATTATGCGACGTAAACAGTATGACTTGTTTCTGTTCCCGAATCAAAAAATACCACTTCAAGAACATCATTTCGAGTCGATTGGGGCTAGAATAGAAAATACGCTGAGGAAGTTGAAGGCTATAACTTAACTACCCTACGAAGTATGTGTAAAGGTTTGAATCCAACAATAACATAGTTTGTAGGTATTGCATTCAATGGGATCTACTTTGAAGGTAATAATATATAAAGTGTCTAGCAGAAATTTTATGACAGATTTGCTGTCAGAAAACAGTCTGATTTCTGCATCAGGGATCTGGTTACCTAGGAACCATTTTACTACATAGTGTATTCCCATTAGTTCTAAACAAAAGACACTGCAATGGTTTGGCAGTCAAAGTGAAAAACTAACATCCACTTTTCTAGAAAATATACCAGTCGACTAGACTGATTTATCTATTTTAGAGGTGCCTATGTAGATTTTAAAAGGAGACTACTTTGTCTAAAGTCCAGTCTTCCCTACTAGGAATAAGAAAGTCGAACCCACCGACTAAGGTCTAGGTTAGAGCAAATATAGTCAATTAAGACAGGGACTGGCAAATTTTGATCCAGTATAATCAGGATGACATAGGGTATGCCAATTCTGAACCAGCGGGAGCGATATAAGATAATTATCGATGTTTACTTAGGAAGAGTTTTTTGTTGTTTACCATAAATGATTGCTATCTAAAGATCGTAATTATGGTCGATAATTTACAACCATATTTGTAGAAAATTATAATTATATATACTATTATGATTTAAAAAAAAACTGGTTTAATATATATTAATATAGTAAAAATAATAAAAAAAATTATAAAAATAAAAAAAATTAAACTATATAGGAAACAAAATTTAAGTTATTGATAAATATTTTTAAAGTACTTAACTTATAAAAAATTCGCAATAAAATCCAATATTTAAAAACTGTACGCATCCTGAAATAAAAAAGGAAAGCGTCCTTTACAATGGAACGGAAATATATTTGTTATGAAATAAAATAAAAATTTCACAGCAAATTAGGTTCTACCAACAAAGCAGAGCAAGGCAAGCCCCAACAAAAGAAAAGAAAATTAAAAATCCTTAAAAGAAAGAATAAAGCCGTGCATAAGCACCATAGGCGAAATCCTGAGGAGGGAATTCTACTTCTCGTACGTAACGAATGGAGAGGATTTGTTGCAAGGGCATATACTTGGAAGGATGCAACAACACATGCCGCCGTAAATGCTGCACAGACAAAACACTCGAACGTATGGAAATGTGCCAGAAATAAATGTTGTCGAATCGAAAATCTTGGAACAAATGAAATTTTGTTCAAATCTTCTGAGTTTAAGGCAATTTTGTGCTGCAGGATTGTAAAAGATGAAATTTTTCTTTAAGGAACACACAAAACAAAATTCTATGAGATTCGCAATATTGTGAATATTTTGTAGAAGAAAATCTGATGACTTATTCATACGAGTTTAATTCCTAAAAATGAGGTTATATTGTGAATATTCTGGACGATCAGGTTTTGTACAAAGACTTGGAATTTGACGATTTGAAGTTTGAAAACTTGAAATTTTAAGATTCGAAGTTTGAAGACTTAAAGACTTAACGTATGGGGACTTAAAGTTTGGAGACGACTTTTGAAGACTTGAATTTCGAAATTGCAAACGAACTTAAACAAATTATTCTTTAATGTATAAGAATAAGTTAAATAGATTACGTAGCAAAACAAGAAGAATCGTTTCTAGAGCAATCGAAATCCGATTCCTTTGTGAATATAGACGTTTTACTATAATATTATGTAATACAATATTATAGTTTATAAAAGTCCAGTTGACGAAGGAAACATTTCAAGAGAAATCCACTCATCGAAGACTTATGCTTTTACAATATATTATAAGTCTGAAATCAATAAAAAAAAGTATGCCCTAAGTATTATTCCATAATGAAAAAGGATCCATAAAGCAAACAATTCTCTAGCTTTAGCCTTTTTAACTTTATGTAAAAATAGAAAATTATCCACATAGGTTGTGGTTTCATTATATTGTGGTTTTTTCGAGGTTAAGCTGTAAACCCTAGGCTCAATACCTTTCTAGGAAAGTCAATCATGAATATATGTTTTTGTTATTGTCAGTAACCCACTTCTGAGGTTGCGAATGCAGCCGTTGAAGAGTGGAATCCCCAAAAAACTGAACAACTAACACTCCAGAATACAACAAGTCAAGTATTCGTTCAAGGTGAATCAACAGACCCGTTCAGCGTTGAATCAGAAATTAAACGAGTTGATGCACTCTCGTCGCTAATATTCAATCTACTGCTTAATAGTAACTTATCAGAAATTAACGTTGATAAAATTTTGTGACTATGCCGATGGTATTACTATATTAGCCAGAAGCCCCAACGCGTTAAGATCGTTGTTCAGAAAACTTGAAACGCTACTGCAAAAAATCGGGCTAAAAGTTAATTATCAAAAAACAAAATATATGTTGAAATCAAAATCCAGCGTCTATAGTAACCAGTTACACTCAAAGTAAAAGAACCATGCCAACTACTATTCCACGTACGGAAAATACTCAGAATGATTTTTGGCCCAATGCGTCTAGATGATGGCACATAGCGTATTGGCTACAACCATGAATTAGAGAACTCAATCAATGAACAGAATATAATACGATGCATAAAATCGAAACAACTAAAATAGCCGGGACACGTTTACGTATGAACCAAGAAAGATCAGCAAAACAGCACTTGTAAGAAACTTAAATGGAACTCGAAGAAGAGGCAGATCTTAAGAATGATGATCCTGAAGCAGATTTAATCAAGGTACGCGTGAGCGATCGGAAAAACTTGACATCGGATCGATTCAGATAGCAAAAATTTGTCGAGGAAGCACTGGTTTACGCAGAACTGTTATGATTACGAAGAAGTAGAAGAGCAAACATGAATATTATTGTGTGGATATGTTCACATATCCTTTCTACCTCTTACATTTTGAAACAACAAAGAGGTATCAAAAGACTACTAACGGAGCAACATTAAAAATTAACGTTCAACATAACACGGCTCCTTATGGCCACGATCAGAAAGAGCGCAAAATGCAGTGACCATTCATCATAGGACTTTCTGCATTACATGACCTTTAGTCTATTATTCAAATAAGCAACTAAAAAATTTCTCAATTATTGTTTCATGAATCAGTTTTTAGAAACAGAAGTTAATTAAACAAAAATTAACCACTCTAAAGAAATGTCAATGTCAAGACATTCTTAGGATTTTCTTCCTATGCATTTATGGCAATTTTATAGTTTCTGCTTCTGAGCACCATAAATTTCAATCATATGAGTTAATGGTATTCATATGACTAATTGTATTTTAAGGAAAATCCTCCGTATGGCCTATTGAATCCACTTCCTCTTTTAGACTTTGAAAATGTAATGCAAAAATTAAGCCAATTACACTCACTTTGTATGAAAATAGTACTTTCTCCTTTTTTCTGAAACATTGCACATGATGCATTTCATTAAAAATAAGAGTTCTTCTCTTTGAAAGGATGCTTCAGTCGCATGCTGTAATGCAGCATAAGAACATTTTTTAACTTCCATCCTCCGTCACTGCCACACACCCCCTTCAACCGCAAACAACAACAAAATTTCATTTTAAATAAAAAAAATTGAAGCCTCCAGAACACAGAATACAGAATCCAGGATGCAGGATGCGACAAAAAGGTTCTTTCGCATGCATTCATGTCGTGAGTTGAATGTGATTATGCCATTCATTTTATAATGACAAGAACCATTTGCTGCATATCCTTTTCGAGTAAAAAATCACCTGTTTGCATGCATATTCAGCACTTGGCTTCACTTTCTTTCCTTTCCGCTGCTGGTTTCACTTTAATTTTTTTTTTCTTAGGATTTCGTAAAAAATAATTTTCTTTTTCACAATTCTTCAGTTTTTGTGCAGTACATAATTAAAATTTTTATTCAGATTTTTTCTCTCTGCACTTAAATTGAGCATAACATTCAGACTGTTAATTATAACAAGTTTTGGTTTCGTGTTCTGACACAACATATAATAAAAAAAAATCCTAAAAGTTTGTCGAAAAACACACTTTCAAATCTTCACCAAATCTGAAAGCTTAGAAATTTACATCATTAAAAGTAATGTTACTTTAATTTATTGGACTATACGAGTATGCATGAACAATCTTTAAAATATATCTCTATAACTGCTTAATCTTTTGCCAATACAGTGGTACCGAGATAACTCAGAATAGCACGAAGAATGGGTGTTTGCGCTGAGCTGGGCTGACTGTGTTGGTAGGCTTTAGACCGAAACCCTTTTCGACGCCTGATTAGGCTGAGGGTAAACTGAGAGGTTTGATAGCTCTTGCGAGTTTAGCAGAGTGGCACATATCCCACCATAGTATCAGTGAGGATTAACTAGAGTTCACCTGCAATGAGATCGATTTTACTGTGAGCCA